TAGACGAAGCTCCAAGCGCTCAGCTTCATTGTCATTGTTTGAACCCTTGCCCCAACAAAGCCAGATTGGTCCATTGTCGTCTTCGAAGTTGAAGTCGTGAACGTACTGCCAACACAGCGTACAGAGATCACAGCCAGATCGTGCTGACGCAATCAAATCGCTCAAGGACGACCACTTCCGTGCAGGGTGAGGGGCCGGTGGTAGCTCTGCGAAGTCGGCGAACGTTGAGCAAGGAGCGCAATAAGGCATGTCGGCAATGAAGCTCGGTTCGACAATATGACTTCACTTTGGTTTGTGGATTTCCCTCATTCGTGGTGGAGTGTCGTTGATGACGATGCGAAAGTCGTGAATGGCTTGCCTATGTAAATAACAAAAGATGCTGAAAGTTGAGGGAAGAGCCCAAAGATAAGGACAAGAATATTTTCAGGGTTTTACCAAAAGGTCAAGTCCTTGACTGAAGACATGTGTAGAAGGTAAGCAGGTTGAAGTTGGCAATGAAGCCATGGCGCAGTCTTGGAGGGAGGGGCAGCGGTCGCCTGAAGGCGTCACAACCTTTACGCGACAGCGCGAATCATAATCGAGGCTCTCCAACCTGGACGCATCGATTGCCAGAGGTTGATCCGAGTTGGGACTACGGTTATTACAGTTGACAGCCATACGTGAGAGTAGTTGTATCACTTCTGAGATGCGCGAGAACAAGACCGGTCCGGCTAAGATGTCAATGTTGTACATTTCTATGCTTTTACCTCTTCACTCCACCTTCAGCATCACCGTATATACACCCCATCACCCGTTGATAGCTTTACACCCCACCATCACCCCTGCGATCCATGCCCGAGCCACCAACATTCACAAACTCCTTCTTCACATACGCCATCTCGCTAGCAGGCACAACCGTCCACTCCCTCTCATCCATAACCTTATCCAATCCGCAACTTCTTCCTTTCCAGCCCTCTCCCCTCAATCCTCTCGATACCTGCCACGCCGCGGTGATAATATCATTTACACCGACACCATTGAATTGGGCGCCTACAACACGTAACCGCCCCTTAAATTCGCTGGACATGCCTTCCGCAAATTCTTTAATGCGGTCAGCATAGCCAAGTGTGTATTGAGGAATGCAGTCGCGGGAGAGGTTGGCAATGTGTGCAGTGGGTTCTTCTGTGATGCCAATGTGCCTCTTCAGGACGCTCTTTGCCATTTCCAGACCTTCTTCCTCGCTAGGGAATTCTGTCCAGCCGTCCCACCAGTGGCCGCCCATCATGACTGTAAGTTTTGTGCCGTTGGCTGTGTCCTGACCCTTGACAGCAGATGAATCAAAGATTACGCCTAGGGCGCGCTCAGGGTTTTGCTCGAATGGAATGGATTGTGGGATGAGGTAGCCGAAACCTTCAACAGGGAGAAGGTTCGCGTTGGGGTAGTAGAGATTCACCGTCATGACTGTGACGTAGGGGGTTATCTCATCGTTCTTGAGGGTGGATATGGCAAGATCGAACGATTCTGTTGATGTCGAGCCTTCGTTCTGTATACTGTCAGTACTCGCGTAGCTTCCATTGAAGACGATGGACTTACCCCAGAGACAATCTCAACGCCCAGCTTCCCATTCTCGTTCAAGGGCTTGAAGCTCTGAATGGGCGCCTCTGTCCGGATCTCAACATTGCCCTTGCTTTCCACAGTATCCAGCAATGCCCTGACCATCTGTTGCAACCCGTTCCTGAATGAGAACATAGCAGAGTCTTTTAGGTTCTTTGCAAAATCCAGGTCCAGGTCGATCTCTTCATTCATGGCCTTCGCTATTTCCCGGTCGTATGGGTGAACGAGGGTGACCTGCTCCGGTCGCGGGTCTTCGTTTTGCATACGGAAGAACCCTCCAAGGGCATTGCCGTATCGTCCTTCCAACTGCCATGCCATGCTCAACAGTGTCTTGGCACTCAATTGGTTGATGTCGCCCGCATAGATGCCGTGGAATACCGCCGAGACAATGTTGTCTGCTACCCTTTTGTCCACCCTCCGTGCGAGGAACGAGCCAACTGTCTCATCGGACATGGAGTCTGGCCGCTTTGGCTTCATTGGTTCTGTGATCATACCAAAGGCACCACTCATTATGCCAGTCCGCCATAGTGAGAAGAAGTCTGCGAGGGAGGGACGCTCGGAGGGCAGGCGATTGAGTTGGTCGGGATAGTAGATGAAGCGGTTCTTTGCGCCAGGTTCGGTGCGCTTCGTGAACGTGATATCGTCAACGAGACCGAGGTCCTGAATCTATACACACGCTATTAGCAGAGCTACTGCTGTAGACATGCTCAAACATACCAACCCCGCAGTGACAGTAGCATTTCGCAACGTCCTGGGACCCAGCTCAAATAGCACATTGCCCTTCTTCCCCTCGGAATCTACAACGTCGACTCTGCGACTCTTGATCCATCCACCTTTGTCTTTCCCCGCCTCAAACACAATCACTTTACTGTTGGGGAATTCCCGAGCAACATAGTAGGCGCTTGACAAGCCCGCTATACCCCCACCGAGGATAGCTATGCGCTCCGGGTACGAGGATTGGTAGCGAACGGCATACTGTGCTGTGGCGCGGAGAAGTAGGCGTTGTGATGATGCGAGTTGTGGCCGATGCGGATGCAATGGGGACGGCGCGTGGCATGCAAGCGCGGGGCGCGCGGCAACGGTCTTCAACGTCTTCTGCGAGACATTCTGGAGCCGCATTGCCGGTTCAATTGGTCGCAAGATCTATTGGAAAGGCGTTGCGACGACAACCAAGAAGTTACATTCGGAGGGTTCAATTGATGTTCCTGCGGGAAAATGTCCGAGCTTGGACCGCTTGCTCTCCGCAATCGATGGCTACTGCCGTCATTGATTCAGCCCTATGCAGCCGCGATGTCATGCACGGAGCGTTGACTGTAAGTAGCGGGCAAATATTACGACAAACTCAGATAGAGATGCATGAAAAGTCACGCATGTGATTGACGCGCGCAATGTTCAGGGAATGTATTTCACAGGCTACAGTATACATACAAGGTCACCATCACGAAGGAACAAGGCTATCTACTATGCGCACAATATACAAACCTTGGATATCGAATGTTTCGCATCGGGATGGGGGCGTCGGGGAAGTAGCGTGGACGTGACATCGAAACGGGGATCGAAGGGGGAAAGTGAGGTTGAAAGAGTTCGAGGTGCTACGGACCGACCGAATAGTGTACAGGAGGCAAGGAACTCGAACCGCATCGATATCGACCGATCGACCGAAACAAGGCGAGAAGTCCGAATCGAATGGTAATCGCCGTAACCGTTCGCCAAAGAAGATCCGAATCGAGCTTTTCGACTGCTGAATGCATTAATGTCGTGGCAGGACATAGAAGTAAATCTAGCCTCCACATGTGAAAATAACAAATCCCAAAAACCATTTTCCCATCAACAAAACACCGTGCTTGAATCAATTTGAGCACTCGTGTCAATACTAGCCTTGTGCAGACAGTGACAATAGTCCAGATGCTGCCTGCTAGACGCAACGCAGCTCAGTTCTACTCAGCCACGTCCAGGTCTTCGTGAGCAGGAGGAGGAGGGGAGTCAACTAGATGGCTGATCAGAGCGATTCGTTATAAGAGGGTTCGGTTGACTTACTCTTGCGGGGCTCACCAGCCGGTTCAGCCTCGCGGTCACGCTCGCGCCTATCATCGCGATCGACACGGTCACGGTCGCCACGGTCATCCTCACGATCGCGGACATCCTTCATCTCGCGGTCGCCGTCAACAGGGCTCCTTGACCTATCACGGTCACGGCGGTCATAGTCGCGCTCGCGACGGTCATCCTTTCGGGGAGAAGCCCCACGCTCGCGACGAGGAGAGGTGCTACGACGGCGAGGAGAGCGAACACCTCGGTCTGCACGATCACCACGGTCGGAGCGGTCGCCGCGGTCACCGCCACGCTCAGAGCGCTCACCACGGGGACGGTCACGGCCAGAGTCGAATCGCCATGATGCCGAAGGAGGCGTACGGGCCCACTATAGCTTGTTAGACAGACCCACGTCATTATTGTTATTCTGACATACCTCAATCTTCAACAAGTCATCGCGGCCGATGCGCTTGTTGTGCATCTCGTGGTACGCGTCATCGGCGTCACGACGAGACTCGTATTCGACGAAGGCGAAGCTGCTGGCCTGTTAGAGCCTGGGTCTCTTGCTGATGGGGAGGGCCAACTCACAGTCTAGAAGAAGCTGAACGGGGGGCTGGGATGTCACATCGGACAAGGCGGCCGTAGCTTGAGGATTGTCAGATCGTTGTCTCGAAGGAGCGTGTGTGCAATGGAGGAAGGTGCAGATCGTCATCGACGCGCACGGGTGTGGCAGCAAAGGAGGAAGCAGCGTCGCGCAACGTCTTGTGGGACCGCCATGGCGAGGAAGGGGCAGAGAGTATGCGGGATCGGGCTTTATGATGGAGGACGACGATGCGCATGCGATCGGGCTGGGGCGAGGCGTTGGAAGACATACCGTTCGAACTCGTAGGCAAGGTCGCGAGCGCGTGTGCCGTGGCCGAAGCCGGTGACGTAGAGCGTGGTGCCGCCGCCGCGAGACATGTTTGTCTTCTAGTTACGTGAATCGGGTATGTAAAGTTGATACGAAACTTGCAGTTGAGACAAGTTGGGGGTGACGGTGACGGATGTGGTTGATGATAGAAGGTCGCAAGCGGACAAGAAAGTACTGGAGGCAGCTCAGCAAACGCTTGGACTAGCGCCTTGGCACGCTCCCTCGGACGTCAGCGTTCACCGACACCTGGGAGATCCTTGCGATTAGTGCCAGACAAGGAAACACTGATCCTCATGGTGTGCCTGTTGCCAAAGGGTTTGTTTGTTTGGATGTTCCACTCGGAACCCTATGGCAAGGGCACTTCAGTCCCACCGATTGGGAAAGGGACTACGAGACAGGCACGTGAAAGGATAGCTAGTCATCCGCTATGATCAATTTTATATTTCACAGAACTATATTACTATATAACCTATGCCGGGAACGCCCCATACGGTGCTCCCTCGAGCTTGAAGTAGCCGGGCTGAAGTTTTTGGAAGACGCCAGTAGGGTCGTAAACGCCAGAGATGCTCTTCAGTTTCTGCTTGTTGGCAGCCCCATAGCTAGCGACTACATCTTGGTACGGCGATGCGTAGTTCATGTAAATGAAGTCGGAGTTCAGATCCTTCTTCGCCGCTTCCTCGACAAGTCGCTCATACAGGCTGTTGCTGAAAGACATGATACGGGAGTTGTCCGCGACATCCGTCCAGAGAATGGCAAGGTTACAGATGAAGATCGGACCATCATTGGGGTCAAGACCAAGTGCATTTCCACCATTCTGTTGCATATGTTGCATTGCCGGGACAGTGATTGCTTGGAAAGACAGGACAGGTAGGATTCCAGCAGCGTCTTGGATTGCGGGCAGCATATCGAAGAAGATGTCGATGAAGGCCTTAAAGATGTCTTTGTCTACCTTGAAGGTGCGGTCCCAATACGTCTCTTGGACGCCATCCGGAGCTCCCGCACCAAGCTGGTTGGCCAAAGTCGACATGTTTGCAATGGCAGTTTGGTCGATGATGGCTGGAATGGCTTTCCATTCGTCGAATACAGGAGGCCATGGCGTAGGGTCGGAGTACTCAAGATCTTCGGCCGCAATTTTCATGCCGGCCTGGAGTGCGAATGACACGATCTGAGCTTGCTTCAAATCCTTCTCTGCGTTGACGGCATAGTTGTAGTAGGCCGCATAGACTTTGTCCCATTGATCCTCAGTGTGAGCACGTTGCCCGCCCCACATTTCACCTTGGACGAAGGTTCTCATGTTGAACTTGGTGACAATGCCAAAATTGTTGCCACCTCCACGAAGAGCCCAATAAAGATCGGAGTATTTGGTGGCACTCGCATTCACGATGATGCCTGAGGCTGTCACAACCTCGAATGAGTCGATGTTGTCGCAAGCCCATCCGTAAGCATTCGCGTAGTGAGAGATACCTCCTCCAAGAGTCAATCCAGAAACACCAACCGAAGAGATCTGCATGGGGTTAGAAAAGCTGCTCGACATGAAAGCCAGGGCATAGGAACAAGTAGGGAAGGTAACGTACTCGGCCACCAATGACTTCAAGTCCGTACTGCTCGATCCAAGGATACACATCGGCCCACCGGTTACCTGGACCGACGGAAGCGATCTTCTTGTCTGACGATAGGCTCCTCTCGTTGAGCTTTTCCAGGGCGATAGTAATGCCTCCCTCGATGCTGGATCCTCCTGCGAATGCAGCATGTCCGCCCCCTTTGACAGCGAAGGGACACTGCGTAAATCGAGACAAGAGCACAACAGTTGAGACTTGTTTGGCATTGCTGGGCTTGAACACGCAAAATGGGTCTACAGCGGCTTGCTGAGCTGCCCAATAGTCGCTGGTGAAGTTGTCGTACGCTGCACTTCCTTCTGACAGCACAGTCCCGTTGCCGAAAGTAAATCGAAGAGCTGCGCACTAGATCCAGGGTTAACAATGATCCCAGGTCAATCGCGACGATCGTGTAGACTTACAGCTGTGGAGCAAGCCCCAGACGAAGATCTTTCCGCCAGACCTGCCAGGCCAGGAATAGCAGTTACATCGAGACCGTTGGCGAGTAGCGCTTCCGTTACATTGAAGTCGACAGGCTCGAATGTGCTTCCAAGCACACCAGCCGCGAAGGCGCTTATCGAAGCAGCGAACATAAGCTTCGTGATCCCCATTTGCGCGTCAACGGAATATGCCGGATGATGGAGAAAGCTGTTACCGAGTGTGTGGGCCAGTGACTGAGGTGCAGGGAGCCACTGCAATTAATGTAGGTTGTGCCCCTAGGGGCGTGCTGTCCATACTCGTCCGACGGAGCCTATAGGTGTAGACCTTAGCGGACGGAGAAGGCAGCTTGGTCGCATTCTTAGTGGATAGCAAAGGCCAAAGTTTGTGGGGTATGAGCTAGTCTCTTGTCGCGAGTCGAGCCGTGGCAAAAGTTTAGCATGGTAGTGACATCCGGGACCTGATGTGGCTGCATGGCAATTTCAAAATGGTCCAACATCGGTGGGAGCTGAAAAGACGTCTTGCTTACGTACACATGGTTCCACGGATAGACGCGTCGCTCCCAATGACTTGAATTACTGTGCCTCAATCATGCAGCTGTTCACGACTCCACACCTAAGCGCGTGTTGTGATGCAAAAGAATTCCATGCCAAGTGAGAGTCCGAGGGTAGGTGTTCACAGTGGACAAGGGAGGAGCCAGCCGTGCCGCTCCTGCGTCTTTGCCAATGCCGCATGAACGCCACCACGCCAGCTGTACACTACTATCCGCCAACCGCGAAACACCTTTTTCGCACCCGCCACCTGCATCTATGTGTACGAGCGATGGCTGAATCCATTTATCCGGCATACCACTACGTGCAGTTCCTTGAGAGTATACCTGTTGCCGTGGACAAACTTATCGAAGTCCTGACCGTTTAGGTCTACAACGCAGTGGAGTCCGTTAGGCCTACCTATGGGCGATATGCTAGGCTCGCTGTGGCTTACCTCGCCGAGGCCTAGACGAAGTTTGCTCCACACCTGCGCTGCAAGGCGATAGCCTGGGGTTGTTGCCTTTACAACACGTCTTGGAAAGGAGAAAGAATATTGACAGAAAAAGCATGTCAGCCGCTACGTTCATTTTAGCTAAAATATCAGGCACCGTGCAGCTCCCGACCCTATAGCGCCGATACGCATGTCACCACCTCGAAAAGCGTGAGCGGAGAAGTTCGCCCCCAAGCTAGGCTGTTAAGGTTCATTTAGCCAGGAGGCGTTCTTGGGGGCTTACTTGCCTTTGTCCGATACAGGATACTCATGAACACTTCGATAAGGCCATCCTGACTCCCTGAGAGTTTCTCACCGAGAGTGTGCAACGTCGCGAGAAAGCAGACGATCGGAATACCAGATTCCAGGAACCAGGAACCGTGTACTGGGTAAATCGAGGTCGCTGTCTGTGTATTCCCTTACTCAGACACGCGTTGGACCCCATGTAATCCAATATACCTATGCGTCTCATAGGCTTCCACACCCCTACACGCACCTTGATCCGGACACCTAGCAAGTTCTAGTTCCGAAGTGTTTAATCCAGAGTGTCGGGCTTCGAAGACCAAGGGATCCAGAATCTTTCCATCTTGATAGCTACAGCGCAGTCCTATTGCGACACAACATCCGTCCCGAGAAACATGCCCTGTTGAGGTTTGTCCTTGTCTACTCGAATCTAACAGAATCCCTGAAAACCTGCAGTCTTCGTTCGCGATGTCGACAGGCGCCGACTGGATCTCGCAGCATGATCTGCTCCGGATAGACTACGCTATGCTGGCCATGACATCGACAGTCTTTGTTGCACGGATTGGTGTGCAAGCGTGGCGGCGCAAACCCATCGAAGCGCAGGATATCTTGCTCTACATTGCTTTCGCGGCCTACTTGGCTTTCACTATCCTCTACATCGTCATCACGCCTATCTTCTTCAAAATCCAGGAACTACAACTCGGACGCATCTTGCCATGGCCTACCATGATGGAAGACGTCATTCTCGCATCGAGAGTCATGTGGCAGAGCGGAATCGAGTACTGGACATGTCTCTGGTTCGTCAAGTTCTCACTGTTGGCGTTGTACAAAAAGCTGCTTTCTGGAATGCCCAAGAAGTATCTATACATCTGGTGGGGTACACTGATCTTCTGCGTCGTGGTATGTAAGGGTTCATTCCGTTGGGTCTTTACACGCATAGCCCCCGAAAAACCTTGACTGATTTGGTATAGACATGGTCTACCTGTATCATCACAGGCCCTGGGCTAGCATGTAACGACACCAAAGCGTTCTTCGACAAGGGCGCTGTGTGCTCGTCGCCCGAAGAAACTCGCCGACAAACAGCAAATCTCTACTACGCGTACGCAGTAGACACCGTAACGAACATGATGGGTATGCTCAGTCGACGTCGAAATGCTGGTTTCCTGTAATAACGGAATTTGCAGTCATGTTTCTCCCAATCCGGCTCATTTGGAATCTGCAAATGGAGAAGCCCAAGAAGATTGGTTGCGGGTTACTGTTCGCCTCCGGTCTTGTATGCATACTTTTTTCGACTATACGCATTGTGCAGGTTGGTCAGGATGGGAAGCCTCGATCGCCAGATCCAAAATGGCTGACTATGTGGACTATCATCGAATGTTCAACAGGTAAAGTCGCCAGACTTACTCTTGCTTATCAAACTGACACTTTACCAGCTGTCATCATCGGCTGCTGCCCAGTACTTGCATCCGTCGTACCCAAACGCCGTACACGGCCATCAGATACCGTCTCCTATGATACCCAAGGGTACATTAGACAGTCACCCAACCGGTCTGGCGAAGGTGCGCCAAGAAGTCACGGCTTAAGAAACATACTCAGCTCTAAAAATCGGGAGAAGAGCAGTGAGAAGAACTCCGGCAACATTAGCATTTCGAGAACTGGGCACGAGAGTGAAGAAGAGCTCCCACCACGTCGCACAGAAGGCGCTGGTATTCTTATCACAGACGAGATACGAGAGCAGTATAGGCTACGTATGAAGGAAGACCAACGCATGGAAGAAGCGCGCCTGAAGCTTGAGCAGTCGCAGGTGTGATCTTGTATAGTTGAATGTATGAACGCTGTTACGAAAATATACCTCGTCTTGTAATCTTGCTGAACAAACTTGAATGGATGACAGCAAGAGTCTATGCCGTGTGCGACTAATTATGAGACGTTGAACGACTGGAGAGGGCAGTTGTTGGCTTAAGACATCACAATACATGATGAAGAATTATCGCATTTGTGAGTCGGCCAGAAGCGCCGCCTAGGTTATAGCATCTTCTAGACGGATACACTGGACTCATGTCGAGCTTGTTTTGTGATATATAATCTGGGTGGCGAAAGCATACTGCTGTGGATGAGACGGGCGCTAGTGGGTGCGGCAAGTGCCGAGCTTGATTGCGCAGAACTTGAGCAGGCGCTCCCAGACAATTACTGCGTACTTCCTTCTCCACACCCACCCACGCCCCAACCCGCTGCATCTAACGCGCAACCACTTTCACGACTGACGAAACACCTGTTACGACCGTCTGAACACGCACTCGCGATAGCCTTACGTCATACGTTACGGAAGTCGCGTTCCTCGTCGCTCCCTTAGTTTCGCACCCACCGCTCAATCTCGAATCCACGCGACAGCTCTCCCATCAACGTCCGCCCTCACTATGGCTGTGGATTTTTCGAGCGACTCGCCTCTGGCGATGCAGCTGCAACAGGTAGTCCAGCCCAAGCTCGCTGAGTTTGGATGGACGACTGGCGGCGAAGACACGACGCTTTTCGAGTACATTCTCCTTATGCTGGCCAACGACAAGAACGAAGCGCAGGTCGCATCAGAACTCTCAAATGATTTGCTCGACCTGGGTCCGGAGAACACAGAGACACAGCAATTTGCGCAGTGGTTATTCGAGCAAATCGAGCACCTGAAGCAGTCGAGCGGCGGCAATGCACAAGTCTCGCAGTCAATCGAAAACCAGATGGACGGCTCATCAAACGACAACATGGCAGCAGCGCAAGATACAGACATGGAAGGCGCGTCAGAAGGACAAGGCAATATGTATGATACCACCCCAATTCCCCACCGCTTTGGCGCAGCCACTTGTGCGAGAAATGGCTCGAAGGAGACCACGCAAGCGCACGAACGCCGATCCGAGGCGAACGCAAAGCATGCGATGGCTCTTCAGCGCTTACAGTCCTTTGCATGCTACAATGAACAAATGCTAACCGTGAACAGTCCTACAGGTCCCAAGGCTATGCGTAACGGTAGCGGCGCCCAAGCAGCACGTCCAGCGCGCGGCGGTCGGATGCTTAACCAGCTTAACAAAAACATGGACCGCAACAACGACTCAGTATTACATCGCGTACGTGGCGCCGGCGGCGGCGTTGGAAGAGTGAACGCACACGCCCGTGATCCACCGAAAGGCCCACGAGGCCAGAACATTGGTCGCGGAATGGAAGCCATGGCCAACGGTCGTGGTATGGGCAATGCCAACATGAACATGGGGCAAAACAACGCTGGTATGAATGGTATGGGAATGGGCGGTATGCCAGGAATGCCCATGCCGGGAATGGGTGGTCAGAACAACATGCCAGGCATTGGCCTGAACCCGCAACAGCAAATGGCGCTCATGCAGATGTACGAGCAACAGGCACAGATGATGCAACAGATCTTCTCCGGCGGCCAGCCAGCTGGCTTCGTCAACCCCAACTTCCACAACAACCGCAATGGACCTAAGAAGCCATTACACCAACGCATAGATCGGTCACACCAGGGCGGCAGAGGCATGAACCCGAACGCCAAAACTTTCCAGAAGAAGGAGGGCGAGGACGAGACTATGGCCGATGGCCCAGCTGGAGAGAACGGCAGCGGTATGGACGTCGAAATGCCTTCTGGGCGCCTAGATCCCTCTTCCACCATGTGCAAGTTCAACCTGCGATGCAGCAACCCCGACTGCCACTTTGTCCACCAGTCGCCTGCCGCGACACCTGGCACACCTGTCGACATGAACGATACGTGTGATTTTGGAGCGGCGTGTAAGAACAAGAAGTGTGTTGGCAAGCACCCATCGCCCGCACAGCGTCAAAAGTTCCAGTCCGAGCAGGAGTGTGCGTTCTGGCCCAACTGCCGCGATCCCTCATCCTGCCCTTACAAGCACCCTACTGCGAAGCCATGCCACAACGGCGCCGACTGCACAGTGGAGGGTTGCAAATTTGGCCACAGTGCCATCATGTGCAAGTTCAACCCGTGTTTGAACCCCCGCTGCTTGTATAAGCACGAGCCCGGTCAAAAGAAGAACACAACTAATGTCTGGGTTGCTCCTAAAGAGGGTGAACATGTTAGCGAGAGGAAATTTGTTGACGATGAGCAAAAAGAGGAGCTTATCATCCCTAACAAGGACCAGGAGATGCAACAGGCCCCGGCGAACGAGAGTGTGGATGTGCAGTCATAGAAGGACTTGTTGGAACGGCTGAAATGGGACAAGGGCGGTGGATATGATACCATTGAGACGCGGATGGAAGGGTGCCGTTGGTTGGGAACGTAGAGCATTGTACATTAAGTCTGGCGTTAGGGTTGGTGGCATTGCCCCGACTTGGAGGAGAGAACTACTGGTTTCTGGCGGCCCTCTGGGGCTGCGCTCTTCTTCTTACAAATTCGCGTCCTCATGCGTGACATCCGAGACTTTCTAACATGTACCCTGGAGATTACCCACTATTTTACGTTCATGTGATAATGGAGAAAAAGACCGCGTATGGCTCAAGTACATGGCGAGGACCTAGGAGCACATGCTTCAACTAAGAGCAAGAACAAATCCAGCCACGATGCAGAGTATATGCATGGTGCCGGATAACACGGTAATACGAGCCTTGGAAGTATAGCGATGCGCGCTCGCGGATGACTATGGGAGGAAGCTATGACGAATGAGGCATAGCCGATCCGCCACGCCTGCTCAGCCACCCTCTTTCGTACGCCGCGACATCTGGTGTGTGATCAACTCCGCATTCTACCTATACTCTGACCATCTGTCGCTCTTTCCTTCTACCTGTTCATACTCTGCTTTCTATACACACTCCGTTCGTTCTTTCCTTCTTCACCTTTCTTCTCGGAGGATCGCCATCTACTTCGGAAGCAAACGCTCAACAAAGTTCGATCGACAGCTGAGGAGAGATTGCCCAGCTTCGCCGCCCAGCAATACGACGTGACAGTCTTTTTGTCCTCCGAGGAACCCATCTTTCTTACACCACACTCTTTGTGACCTACACAAATCGCCACCATGTCTAAACCATATGTACGTTTCCACAACTGTCAGCACCTCTTGTCGCATTGCGCGACATGAGCCCATCTCTCTACTGTCGCAAAACCATTACAGTACTAATGATTCTCCAGGACCAAGGCGCACCACCCGCCTACCCTCCGCCAACCCACCAAGATGCCGGCCCAGCCCCCGGTGGCATGCAACCCTCATACTACAACCAGGGCGGTGGTGCACCAGACTACTACGGCGGCAGCCCAAACCCCTACCAACAAGGCCCGCCCCAAGGCCAGTATGGACCGCCACAGGGCCAATATGGACCTCCTCAAGGACAATACGGATATGGAGGCCAGCAGATGCAATACCAGCAGGGACCGCCACCCCCAGGCGGCTACTACCAAGATGACAGGAGGGCCGATGGCGGCGGCGGAGGCTTGTTCGCTGGATTGTGCGCTGGTCTGGCGTGTTGTTGTTGCTTGGACTGCTTGTTCTAGACAGGTCGCTGTGGACAAGCAGAGTTGGAGGGATTGATAGCAATGGAATGCGCAAGAGGCGGCATGTTACATGGGGCAATCTGGCTTTTCGACCACAGTAAATTCGTATACCATGCGAACATGGAGTGAAAGGAAGAGGATTCGGCGCACAGACTATAGATCGATGGGCTTTCTTTTGTTCTATTCCAATTGGGGTCTCTTTGGATACGACTGGTTATCGAATCGAGGGCTTATCAGAGAGTACTGCCAGCTACCAACTTACCTAATTCGACGATTTCATTTTCACAATCTCGTCCGCATTGACCCTTTCCAGAACTTGTTGGCTGACAATCCAGAGACCTGCGATCGAAGACCGTTTGCCACGACCCGAAAAGCAGCAGCTCGATGCTAGGCGTTTGCCCTGCTACGCCGTCACAATTCGCAGTGCAATAATTCACAGCAATGCGCGACCTGGGCATCAAGTGGAACGCATGTGACTATGCATGTCTAGCCAGCGATTCGAACGTACCGTCAGGCTTCACTTCGTCGATCATAACCTCGCAGTCTCCCACCCTTCTCGCGGTTCGTTAAACATCATTTACCTGGGTATATAAGAAAAACTTTAAAGATTGTTTGCTGGTACCGACCTCGGTCCGCTTAACGGACGGTCTCTCACCGTGACATAGCGACATTCGAGCAAGGACGGCGTCTGGTGCGAAGCAATCGATATTCCCCGTCACATCTCCAGGACTTCACTGTTACTGAACGCAATCATGGCGAGTAATGACAATCCACCGGGGTACACCCCTCCTGTCATTCTTGATACCTCGACTATAGATGTTCCAAGTTCGACTGGGTCGAGCTCTGTGCTTCTCCCTATGGAGACGGTGCCGGGTTACTTCTGTGAAGTAAGTCGTTATGAGACTCAGCGCAGACGTGTGATAGCTAACGAGGTCAGATCTCCTCAAAGTGCCAGTCGGAAAACACGTCCGACGCTCCCAAATGGCTCTACTGTCAACAGTACGATTACGATATCGCTGCTTATTTTTCTTGCGTCTGCAAATACACAAACACGTTGTCCAACAACGAATACTTCTCCGCCTCTTGTGTACTGCAAGAGTGCAACGGCGCGGATGCGAGAAAGCGTGAGTACCGTGCTCCGCCACCAAGTGAGGGAAATGGCGAGTGAGTGAGAGTACTAATCGACAATCGTTTAGAGTTTCTCGCTATGTATCGAGCAGCCTGCCAGCAACGTGGTACGAGCTTAATAGACGTTTCTCCGGATTGGACTCCGTACGATCAACCACTACCCCTACAGTCTACCGCTACTGTCAGCTTCCAATCTCTTACGTCTACTCAACCGGGTACATTGACTCAGGCCACAAGTGCAACTAGCTCTTCAGCATCGTCAGACGTATCCATAACGCAGTCTACAAAGACTACCACTAATACAATCTCCTCTGCTATGCCAACACCGACGGGCCCTGCTGATGGGCAAATCCCCATTTGCGGCGTATGTTCCCTAAGCTTCTAACATGAGTTCACCCATTAACGGCCATCAGATTCCTGACAAATGCATGACCAAGAAGTCGCAAGGCGAACCGTCATGTAGTACTGGTGACCTTGACTGCATCTGCAAGGTCAGCAACTCGCTCGAGAAGAACACCGAGTTCGACCAGCAATGCGTCCTAGACGCTTGTTATGGCGACATTGGAAGAGAAGGTAAATCACTCTTTCGGAGCATAAATCCACACACCGCCTAATGCTAATTTCCTTCCAGAATTCCTAGACAGCCTTTTCTACCACTGCAAAAAGGTTGACAAGGAACTCATTGACATACCGAAGCGGTGGGAACCGTATCTTCCAGCCACTTTCCCTTCTGCAACGCCTGCCTCAGTCCCACCCGTCGAATCCAATGGCTCTGTCTCTGAGAGTGCCCGCCAGCCCTTTAAGCTCACCGGTGGAGCCATCGGAGGCATTGTCACCGCAGCCGTCGTCGTCCTCATCATCGTCGCTGGCTTGATAAAGCTTTGGTGGGATTCCAGGAAGAAGGCCAACACACTTAAGAAGGACAATGCGAAATTACAAGACGCTACGAACCCAGAAGGTATGTCGATGAGAATCAACACCTTGATCAGCGATTCGTCGATACCTGAGTTCGCGTCGCGTCGTGACACTACAAGCGCAGGCCGCGGCGCAGACGCTTCCACGTACCGCGCGTCGGCCTACGATGCCACACTCATTGGTTCGCCGCGGAGTATGGACGTGCACCCCGTTCATGGTTACGGTACTGCACCTCGCGAATATGGTACAAAGACCGAGGACTATAACATGTCGGAGTATGGAGACGACAAGTTCACTGGACATGGGCGGCAATACAGTCGTGATCACAGTCGACACGAGCTTCCTGACAATGAGAATCGAGGTTACCAGACAGCGCCGAATCAGGAAAATTCCGATGACGACTCGATGAGTAGATATAGTGCCGGCCGGAACAGCTACGGCGACGAGACGGTAGATTTGCAGCGGCAGCGAGGACAAGACGCAACAAGCGATTGGGGGGTTGCGCAGTCTCGTGAGTGGACAAGGGAGCATGAAGAAGACTGTATTCGGAGGAGTGCACGTTATTGAGACTACATGTTTTGGAATTTTGGACATTGTTTCCTTTCCCTTACTGGTCATTTGTCTCAACCAACCAGTTCAAAGACTTGTGAGATTGGTCCTGCGGATGCCCGTTCGGTGACCAACCTGGTTTAGACGTACATTTGTCAACCAGGTCGTACACTTGAGGCAGTGCATGCGAACTGGTAGTACGAGAATAGCATTACGTGCGCTTTCATGTGGTTAGCCGTTTGTGAAGTGGTGTTAAGATTGCTCCGCCGGTGCTTGTGTAAGGTGAAGCAGGGGACGAGTGTTCGTTGGGCTGGGGCAGTCGGTGGTCGGTGGAAGAGCAAACATGGGGCGTTTGCACTTAAGAAGTCGTGAGTCGGAATCTTTTACCGTCTTGTTTGGTCGCTTTCTTGATCCAGATCTCCAGCGATCTGCAATGATCTTCGATATGTACTTCTCTATCTTGTTGCTCTTATTAGGCAGCGTCGCTGCTCAAGAGCGTGACAAGTTCTGTATCGCCGCGAAGCCACCATTAGCGCTTCCTGGTTGCACTGTGAGTACCGCCCAAGAGCCACACGGTCGTTTCAATGGACTCTTCTACTGACCCTAATCTTAGAAGCAATGTCTCATTGGGGAAGGAAAGGTCCTCGATGGCAATTGTGCTGATAACCTCGAAGGCTTTTGTGAGCTTTCGGACGTTGTTCACATACACTTCAACATGTATGGTCCATGTCTTCTCAACGCTTGTCCAAGCGTGAAAGATCGACAAGGCAAGCCTTTGATTTATACACAATACGGAATCAGGACTTACTAACCATAGGCCATAGACTACGTAGACATGTTCGAGGCGGCGTGCCAAGGAACACACGAAGATTACTTCGAAAATAAATTTCACTTTGGGGGTAATGAGTTCAACTATAAAGATTTGCTCACGGGAACGCCATCAGGTAGTATTGCAGCGAGTACTAAGGATTCGGCGACTAGCTTTGATGCGACGTCAACGTATGAGACCATTATTGAGACACTTACGTCGAATACTCCATCACCATCGACCAGCACTTCGGCATCGTCAAGTTCGGAGACGGAGAAGTCATCAGAAACGCCATCGCCGCCACTGGCGAATTCGATGCTAGCTGCATTACCTAGCTCTACGAACGAAGGAAAACCTACATCCGTTGTTGCAGCTCCTGCTCCAAGCAATACTATCCCTCCGAACGACGTCACTATCCAGTCGCATGTTCACATCACAACCTCCAACTCTGAGCTGCCAGCCCCCACAAATATCCATGCTACAGAACCGACTCTAAGTACGACTTCCATTGCCGGCATAGCAGCGGGCGGCACTGTAGCTATTGCTCTGATCATCGGCCTTGTATTCTTCTTCCTACGTCGCCGTAAGCGCCGAGCCTCTCTCGCTTCGTCCGCAGCCATTTGGGAGCCCTCTCGCAATACTAGTCCAAAACCCAGACTTCCAGTTATCGAGAATGATTCAAGCCTTGGTCGTCACTCAAAAGTCGAAGCCGGTCCACCGATGCGTCAGCACTCGAAAGCCGAACTACATAGCGAAAGCGCACCGCCACCGCCACGCCCCCAAACTGCACACAATGGCTATCCGAACCCACCAGAGATACGCAGCGGAAGTGGTAATGAGAGCTCGCGATTCTACCGCCCAGCACAGCAATCACATCTGCACCGCCATGGTAGTAACATGGATTCTCGATATCCCGAATTGGGATCTCACGCGGCACCAAACATACCGTCGCCGGCCTCACCTGTTTCTGCTTCTTCGACAATGCAAGGCTGGCATGCCAACACCCCATCTGGAGTACCTACTAGCCGCATGAGTAGTGCTGATCTCCGCACCGAAGGAATGAGAAGTCCAGTCAGCGAACTTGGCACGAATACACCACTCCGCTCAACACGCTCAGCAGAGTTACACGGCGCTGAGATTACGAGCCCGATAAGTGAGCTTGGGAGCGAAACCTTTTCCAGTGGTGGTAACGGGGTGGCCGAACTGCATACTGATCCTGTACTGCCGTTGAAGTTTGGACCGGGCAATAGAGGAGATATGACGGCTGTCATCGCTGAGATGGAGGGCTCTCACATACAGAAAGGACACCGTCATGGGTTGCCAACAAACTCGTAGTCCGTATGGGTAGTTATGGGTATTTGAGTATTTGATTTGTACGATAAACATGTAGATCTAATACGGTGCGAAATAATACAACTAACCTTTCGTCACTGACTTACATCAACATTATGAATTTCACCCTTAGCACATTTTCTTTGAACACGCTGTTTCATCAGAACTATAGTCTCAATATTATGTTCTGAGTATTCGAAAGATGAGTTTCACAAGCGCGGCGCACGAACATGTATCGTCGATGCGCCATGCTTGTGCGACACTGTGCGAAGTGACAGCCGTTCTATTGGAACGCGAAAAACGGCTACTACAAGGCAGTATTTCCAGAACCTTATATAGAAGTAAGATAACGAGGAGTGAGAATCACGTCAGTGGGACTGAGGAACAGCTCTCTTGAGTTGAGGAGAAACCAATTATCAGCCGCTTCATCACCTCTCTCCACGCTCACACACCTATCAACGAAGCCCAGTCGTGCGAAGCTATTCAAAAGTCTACCAGAACGTGTTCTATATTTTCATGCAGGGTCCCGCTGGTGTAAATATTGACGGACCGGCTATCAATTCCTTCTTAGCAAGTCTTTACGTATTGAGAAGTCGAATAGTGCTAAGAGAGGCCCCCTTGCTGCTACAAACAGGCTCTCACATTAAGATCAGCGACTCTTACAGGACTAGGTCACGTTGCAGCAATGGGAGACCTTTTGTGGCATGCCACTGTACTCTCAGTAAGCTTGATTCAGCGGGATCAACACGTTATAGACGAGCATATGGAGTATTGAGGAGACATTGTATCACGTCGGGTGAAGGCAAGGTGTAGAGATGATACGCGGAAGTGTTCTAATGTACAATTAAAAGCATGCGATAGCCTCCTCTTACCAAGGCAGAGTTCGCATACTTACATTGCCCACTAGCATCAAGCAAGGCTACAGCTCAATTTATCATATTGAGGTCAAAAATATGTATGCGATTTCGTCTTCAGTGATATTGAACAGAGGCTCATAACATTCTAGCAAACATCTTACATCAGGGACACCATGGCAGCTACAACGCTCACAACATCCATTCTCCCAACCTCCACACTGGAAGTGGAGAATGGTCATACCACTAGCAACAAGGAGTTCATTTACTATGGCAGCCACGGAAAAGCCATTTTGATAGGTCTCGCAGCCACCGTTGCGATTCTCTTCTCCATCGTCTTATGCATGGCATGCTGCTGGCCGAAAGAGAAGAAGAAAAATGAGCGAGGAGGATACGTGACCACGACTTATTGGAATGCGACTGGAAATAAAGGGAGGTGCTGTTGATTGTTGCGATGAAGCAAGCATGGTAGGAATCTAGTAAGATCGGGTGATTGACAAGGAAGTTGCAGTGGAAAAGATAGTTGAATCGGGCCGCTAAGGTTGTTAAGCCGTCAGCCTCGGTACGCGCCCTCTTACGGCGGTTATCGGAGCTACCAGCTGCTCTCCACCTTTTCAATATAGGTGCTAGCACCACGTCACTCCTGTCTCATCTGCCAATAACAACCCCATACAAGTCAAATCATTTGCAATCCATGTCTCACAAGCCACAATCCATCAGCAGCTTCAGAGCTTATAGTACACGCCAACAGCGAGCAGGAAAGAAAGAGCCTGTCAAGCGCCAAAGACCAACATTAGTTTGCGATCATTGCAAAGCCTCTAAACTGCGATGCGACAGGAACCGGCCCTGTAGTAGGTGTGTCAGGCGAGATGGCGGCACATCCTGCTCTTACAATGGATTGTTACGCGCACGTGGTCAGCCGGCCATTGAAGAAAGACTGCAACATCTTGAAGCTAAGGTCATTCAACTGCTGGATGCAACAGATCCGTCGGAGCCAGTACATAGCTCGAGATTACCTTCCGACTCCACTGGTAAACAGGCGCATGTGTTCAGTGGTCGTGAGCTGGGATTGTCGAAGAACCAATTTCCTACTGTCGTGGAAGAAATTATGGAAAGCATCCACCAGCTGCGCTTGGAACTTCCTACCACGGTTGATGAGTCCGACCTTGAAGAGTCGATCGCCGACGGAAACGACGTTGTCAGTAAGAGTATTCTCGGCTTACCAAGTGCATCCTCGAAAGACGCCATCTTGTCACAATACATGCCATTGCAGAAGGACGCTGATCACCTTCTGGAAACCTACTTCGGAAGTGGCACATTTGTGCAACCCTTCATTCATACAAGACAGTTCCAACGAGAATACCACACTTTTAAAATTGAACACTTTCAAGCAGCCTCAGCATTTTGGCTGAGTACCCTTTTCTCTATCTTCTCAATCGCTGCGTTAGTTCGTGAAGGAGCAGGAGGAGAGAAGACAGCGCAGACACCTAGCTGCAAGTTTTATAATGCTGCAGGGAAGCTTTTGGCGCTTGGCGATTATCATGATACGCAGCGAGACGCTCCGGAAGCATTGTTATTGTACGCCCATTGCAAAAGCCTCAGAAGTCTTGATCCCACCCGCGAATGTGGCGCCATCATCTCTATGGCTGTACGGCATGCATACGAACTAGGATACCATCGCGATCCCGATACTTTCGGCATATTCACAGTTTTCGAAGGCGAGATGAGGAGACGCTTCTGGGCTTGCTGTAAGCAGGTGGATACCATGGTGTCTTTTCAACTTGGGCTTCCCAATAACATTATCCTCCAAAATTGCGATACCAAGTCTCCCTCAAACTTACTGGACTCTGATTTCGATTTCGACACTCAAATTCTTCCCCAAGCCCGACCAGAGAGTGAAGCAACCCCAATTCTATGGTTCATTGTTAAAGATAGGTTGATGCCTGTATTCTCCAGGATATGTCAAGCCGCCCTGTCTTTACGCGTCAAGAGTGACATAGAAATCATGGAGTTGGAAACGGAGG